CTTTTGTCTCTTCATTGTTTTTAGGAATGTTTCTTATTTCTATTCCTGAAAATCTAGACTTTCGTTCCATATTTTCGATTTTTTCTTGTAGTTGTTGTATAATATATCTATCCTGCTTTTTCTCCGCCTCGAGAACGGATATCCGTGACAAAAACTCATCATATTTGCTTGACATTGTATCAACGCTTTTTTTTAATTCATCATTCTGTTCTTTTATACTAGAAACTATAGTTTGTAAGTCTTTAAAAAGCTTCGCTTGTTCATTCGTATGAGCTGAAAACATTTCACTCATATATGACATGATATTAGGATTCACTCCGTCATGTTTCCTTTTTTTACGCTCGGTAACATTTAGCGTAAGTGATGTAATATCAGGCGCAGATTCACAGTGATGTATCTTCGTCCGTTCTATCGCGTCAATCGCGCGCGTCTGCGCTGCATCATCGGAGCTCATAGGCACGGGCGGCGAGGGCGGCGGAGTGCGGTTGATCGGCATTGTATAACCGGTTTGAGAGTACCAGGGCAATATGAGTTAGGAGTGTGATCGCAATGGATTTGCGGACTCGTACCCGTAGACGTAATGTAACTGTACAAGTGAAAATATAACCGTCTCTTTTCTTAACGGGTTGCAACGTGTGGTGTCTTATGATATGTCCTATTTTATTTTTAAATTGTAAATGTGATTGTCCCACTCACACGTATAGTTTAGTTCGTTGAGTAGCCACTGCCGCAGATGTCGTTAGCACTTCGTAGACTTCCTCGAGCTTTATGCACTCCTATTATTTTAACATTATTTATCCCAACATTTATCCGAAAATACAAGTAATAAAGTAAACTATAAACACGTCTTTACTGTTTGAAAGTCCGGGGGAAAGGGGATTAACTGAATACTTTTGCCACAGCAATTATTTTATATACAGTATATAGTATATTTTATATTTAGTTTTCACCCTCCTTCCCCCACCCCCATTTTTTAATCGCGATTTTAGTATTTTTGTATGAATGATATTCAAATAATTTAATATTATAAATGTGAAAGTGTGTTTGTTTGTCTGTCCTTTTTTTACGTCGAAACGGAGAGACTGGTTGGCGTTTTTTTTTGTTTTGAGATAGTTGGAGGGCTGGAGAGAGTCATAGGCTACTTTTTGCAGCGGGAGATTATCTAATTCTCACGTGAAAACACGTTATATTACATTCCAAAAAAATATTTGTGATCAGAATTACTTGAAACTTAGTATTAATGCTCTTCAATAAAATTAAATAAATACTTGTTTTAGCATTTTCCGAAATTCATTCTATAAGGGGTTAAAATAGGGGATGAAAGTTTGTATGAAACTACCTTTTTAGATATTTTTTGTAGTTTTAGCGCGAGCGTAGCCGCGGGTTCTGCTAGTAATATTAATTCTTATATAATTACATAGGGACGAACTCGAGCGAAGCGAGGGTGAGTCGCTATAGTATAACAAAGCAAAAGAGTTTTTTTTTTATATTGAACGCGGGTGAAGCCGCGGGTTCTACTAGTTATTATAATCTAATTTAGATCCTATAACGACACAACAAAACTCACTTCAATCAAATGAAGTACTGGACCTTACTAAAGCACTAAAGTACCGTTATTGGTCCGAGATGGCTATTGAGAGAGCTTATTCAGAGCAACTACCACTATCCTACACGAAAATATATCGAAGTATAGCATTCTTTAAATTTATGAAGGTAGCGGGCTTTGTGCTTTTATATGAGGCCATATGTGTCAAAATTGGCTAAGTGCGAGTCGGATTTTATTGCTGGGGGATCCGTATATGCAATATTTATTTCACTGCATCGTTGGTCTAACGGCTAGCATGGACGGCTTCAAATTCTGGGTTCGAGTCTCGGTCTTGAAATAAACAACCTAAAAAAAGGAGGTATTTTTTTTTATTATTATAATATTATGTTGATACTTGACACATTTCATCTATACATATAATAAAATTTTAACTAAGTTGAATCTGTACAATAAATATTTTTTGGAAAAAAATCTTATTGAAATAGACATTTTTATCGATACAGAAGCCGAATCTATAGTTTTTAGAATTTTTGTCTGTCTGTCTGTTACCGCATCACAGAAAAACTACTGGAGGGATTTTGATGAAATATATTATAGTCATAGCTGGTTATCCGGGTCAACATATAGGATACTTTTTACAGCGGGAAAATATCTAACTTTTGACAAAAAATACAAAACTGGTTAGAATAAAACCACGATGATACTATATACATTTTAGCAAGGTAACTTACTAGGTAAGGCAAAAACTATTTAAAATAGCTTATCTTGAAAAAAAAAACAATATCGCTATTTTATTTTGGTTTTGGTCATCTGAACGCGGGCGGAGCCGCGGGCAATGCTAGTTGTAAATATATCAGTTTAACGTCCAATTTATTAATATAAAGTCCGCTTAAACACCTATCGCTTAATTGATTCTGGTTGATGTGAAAATTCTCATTGTAATTTCAAGTATAAATTAAAACTGATGGCTGGATATAGTGAAAAAGCTAACAATATGGTGGGACGAAAGCCACAATTGGACGTGTAAGAATTAAATTACGTACATAAAATGAAATGGACTATGTAACGATATGGAAGATCGATTAAATAAAATTTATTTGTTGAACTGTTTTTATATGATTTTACGACCTGAATAAATAAAAATAAATGTTCTAGAGCTTAAAGTCGCTTAAAAGCGGCTAGATCTATTTGGCTATTTTCTTTTTTAAATATTCGATATAGTCTGAATAACATTTCTAGAAAAAAAAAACTTTATTTAAAAAAAAACTATATTGGTAAAAGTCAGGAATCCGTGAGACGAGTCTCTCGAGTAAACAAAAAACGAGATATTATCCTATAATATTTCTATGTCAAAGACATTGCCTTATGGCCTAAGAGCCTGTGAACGCCAGACCTTCGTCATTTTATAAAAACTGAAAGTTTGTCAGCGCATGCTCCCAACACAGATAAGAACGATGGACCATTATGAAGTTCAGGCTATGGTGGCTTTGGCAGGTACACGGTACTAAAGGTGTGTAAAATACCGATCTAAATTCGTCAAATATAAAGTGTGATTTTTTGGTATTACGTTGAGAATATTATTAAAAATCACGTCATTCAAGGCCAGACACTTAACATAGTGGCAAACCCTTGCCAGACACCCTTTTCATGAAATCATAATTCTACTTACGTTATAGTATAAAAGCTGATTTTTATATATAATACTTGGGTAATAATTAGGTGATTTATAAGACTGCTAGCATAGCATTTATTACACACCATCAAAAATAAAGTCAATTCTTAGCGCTTCAAATTTGGTGACCATTTGCAACATTTTCTTAGAAATGCCTCCCAACTTGCTTGGAACATTTTTCATGAGAAAAAAATACCAAAACTGCAATGTAAAAGTATACTAATATGTAAAACCTAAGAATTTGGTTTTTGGTCATCTGAATGCGGGCGGAGCCGCGGGCAATGCTAGTGAAATTATATAATAATAATTAGATTGAGAAATGACGAATAGAATGATAAAATCGTAAAAGATACGCAATGCTTATTAGCATACTGCAGCTCGACTAAACCGTTAAATAAATTGTTTTTATTAAAATGTGAAAACTGATTAAAAAAGGGTCAAAATTCTTTCCACTCGTTACTTTCTTATAAAGGTCATATTAAAAAGAAAATTAAAGGGATTTCCATTTTCTTTTAACGCAATCTTGTAAAATACTTGTTGTTTCATCCCTTCGGGATTTACAGTATTTCATTATAGAATGATAAAATTAAAAAGATTATTTTAGTTTTATTTTTCCAATAATATATGTAAATATCAATACCTAAACTTGGTATAAGTATGATATTATGGCTTTAATAAAAACTTTTAATTTTGAATATAATGGACGAAAAAAGGCTGATCTTTGGCACTTCTTTTATTATCTAATATGCAATCTGCTATGGTCTTGTTTTAGTATATTTTTTTAATAATAATTACATAGCATACCCTGCAAGGTATATAGCGTAATAAAATACATATAGCATGACAGAAAATGACTTCTATTTATTTAACGTATTTATTTTATCCCGTTTCCCAGTTAAATAAAAGCTCAGTTTTTTAGCAAATTGAAATTGAAAACGCATAGCTGAGAGACCAAAATATAATAAGCAAAGATTATCAGAAATATTTTTTACTGACTTTTTTAGAACAACTTGATTAGAAAATAACCTGTGGTTCTAAATGCCATAATACCTATATAGACAAATAAACTAAAATAATCTATAAAAAATCTACTATTTTTTTACTTTCATTCTTGCCATTAAAAACTAACATATTTTAATGTTTCCCGCTGAAGAAGTCTTCGATTTCACTATCTACGCCTATTTATCCCATCTGTACCCATCGTTGCGCGAGCGCAACATTTCTAAATTGATTTTTTTTTGTTTTTAAAATAAGTAAATATATCTATGACATGTAAGCCAGTCTCGAGAAGAAAAACTAAGAGATGCATTAATAAAATTTAAAATGGTTTTTTAAATAACAATACATATTATTTTTATTTTTCAATAACTGCTAATTGAGTCATCTCAAGATCGACAGATTCATTCAATCGTAAAAAATATTAACTGAAATAAAGCTATACTTTTTACACTTTGTAAAGCTTTAGCAATATCTTATTTATTGTATAAACCCTTTTGTTGGACAAAACTACTTACACATGCTGCTTATCTTAGAGTTTTAGAAAGCGTTGCATATGCGCAACGTTGGGAGAAATAATGATCAATTGTTATTGTTACACAGCTTGCCATTGATGTTAGAAATTTATTATAAACAATGGATTCTCGGTATTTAAAGAGTACAAACACTTTTGTTTTATTAGTTAGTCGGCTATAGAACGTCAAGCTACGGTTAGCCGTGTCACAGTAAATCTTAAAAAACGATAAGTGAGTGTACAATAATCAGTGAATAAAAAGTTGAAATATTATGGCTTGGCAACGAGTATTATCTTCTCAAGAAATACTGAGTATATTAGAAGAGGAAAAGGATTTAGAAGATGCCAATCAAATCGATGCCGTGTACATGATGCCGACGGTTGACAATCTTACAGACGAGGAAGACCTAGATGATGACGCGCTAGGTGATTACGACAATACTGTGCCCACTGATATCGCTGGAACGTATGAAATCCACACCGATTTACCCGCAGAGCCTGAAAATACGCAAGGTGAGCCCGGTCCTTCAACTTCGAAAAAGCCAAGTCTGCCGAAGAAGTCACCAAAATGTGTTCCAGACTGGAAAAAAGAACATCCAATTTATACACATTTTCCTACAAGTGACGAAACAGCAATGACACAGAATATTGAAGAACGTGTAGGTGGAAAAACACCTTTTGAAGTATTTTCCCTATTTTTTAGTGATGAAGTTTGGGAACAGATTGTAGGTTTTTCAAAAAAATATGCGTGTGACCATAACCGTCATTTATTTACCCTCACGGTAGCAGAACTCAAAAGATTTTATGGTATATTATTATTGAATGGATATCATTTGCCTTTTTGCATTTGCCTGCTGCGAAGTTATACTGGTCAAAAGGTGAAGACAAAAATGTATCAATTGTAAGAAATTGTATGAGTCGTAACAAATTCCGACTCTATAAAGGAAAATATTCATTTATGTGATAATGCTGATCTGCATGAAAATGATAAATTCGCTAAATTGCGTCCTATTTTCAATATAATAAACCAAAAAAATATGCAGTTCGGAATATTTTCACACAACTTGTCAATTGACGAAGAAATGGTGCCGTATTTTGGACGTCATGGTTGCAAGATGTTCATCAAAGGAATGCCTGTAAGATTTGGATTCAAGTTATGGTGCTTATGTAGTTCAAATGGTTATCTGTACCAGTTTATTCCATATGGCGGAAAGAATAGTAATGTTACTAGAAATGATTTAGGTCTGGGAGAAAATGTTGTTTTAGACCTATTGTCCGTTATTGAAGACCCACGCAAACATCGCATTTTTTTTGATAATTTCTTTTCTTCACATAAATTGTTTTGTATTCTGAAAGAGAAAGGCAATTTTGCCACTGGTACTATTAGAGAAAATAGAACAATGAATAAAACTTGATAAATACGAAAAGTCTTCAGAAAAAAGAGAGAGGGTCATTTGACTATAACTTTGACCAAAAATATGAAGTACTGTTGGTTCGATGGATTGACAATTCTGTGGTGAATGTGGCTACTAACAACGCAAAAATCGAACCATTGGTTACAGCAAAACGTTACGATAGAAAGATAAAAAAGATGGTGAATGTGCCACAGCCCCAGATTATAGCAGATTATAATAAAAATATGGGAGGCGTAGATCTCCATGATAATGGAATAACCAATTATAGGATTCGAGTAAGAGGGAAAAAGTGGTGGTGGCCACTATTCATCAATTTGATAGACAGTGTTTTGGTAAACTCGTGGAAAATTTACAATCTGGCGAATGAGCGATCTTTGAGTCAATTGGAATTCAAATCTTACGTTGCTGTAAGTTTAATGAAAACCGAAGAAGCCCAACTTGCAGATAATTCGCATTTTTTGGGTAATTCAAATATAAATCTAGGAAGACCATCGAAAAACGCGTTACCTTTCAATATTCGCTTCGATAATATTGGTCATGTCATAGAAGAGCAGGAAAGTAAACGTCGAAGAAGATGTCGACAGTGTAGAAGTACAACAATTTATATGTGTAAAAAATGTCAAGTACATCTTCATGCTGATTGTTTTAAAATATTTCACTCACGCTAATACTCTAGCGTTGTTAGACTTGCTAGTAAAATTGAAGTTCAGTAATCCCAAAGTTGCTTAGACGCAACATTTTGCGGAATGTAAACTAATAATTCAATATTTTTTTGACTATAATTTTCTCTTTTTGGATGTATTTATAAACGTAATAAACAATAAAACCAATAAATATGCTTTTATTTTTACCCTTGGGAATTAATGGGTTATACATAAATTCACCTGTTTGTGAAATCTATACATATAATAAAATTGTAACCAAGTCGAATCTGTACATTAAATATTTTTTGGAAAATCTAATTGAAATCGACATTATTATCGATACAGAGTCCGAATTTTTAGTTTTTAGAATTTTTTTCTGTCTGTCTGTTACCGCATCACGAGAAAACCACTGGACAGATTTTGATGAAATATGGTATGATGATAGCTGGTTATCCGGGTCAACATATAGGATACTTTTTAAATATCTCATTTCTGAGAAAAAATACAAAAACTGCATTGTTAGAGTATACTAATGTGTAAAACCTAATAATTTGGTTTTTGGTCATTTGAACGCGGGCGAAGCCGCGGGCAATGCTAGTCATAAAAAAAATAAACATAGAAAAGCTTCTACGCTTTAAATGTCCATATAACCCCCTCTGTATAGTGCCTAACAAACTTTAACATACATTCATAGGTGCATTCAGTTCTATTGTTCAGTTATTATGAACGAGTTAAGCTCCTCCTCGTCAAGTGTAGTGAACAACATGCTTTTATGATTTCTATTCTAACGCAATTTGATATCGCATTATTTACGTAATAGTAGTTTTGAAAATTTCAAAGTTTATTTTATTTGTATAAGTTATAATATATACTTTCTTCTTCTTCGTTCTCTCACTGATGAGGATCACGACTACTTATGATTTTCATTCAGTCTGTTCGGTTCAGCGACGCGTGGAGTCATGGAGAATTACGCCCACTGACTTTTTAATCGCTTCCGACCACCACACACGGTAAACGCGTTTACTGTTAATTTGGTCCAAGATTGCCACTTTCTCTAGAGTTCTAGACTATTCTTGGGTGTTCACATAATATGTCCAAAGAATCTAAGGGCCTAGTTTTGACAGAAAGTGTTAAGCCGCTCCGTAACCTTATAGTTTAACTTGATCAATGTATATCTAGGTAGAGTACATAGACTTTAAATATGTGAACTTACGTAATTGTTTCGAATTCCTTCATAGCCTAAAGAATTGAAAGTTTGTCTTGTGTTATTACTTACTGGCGATATAATTATAACATGTAATCTACGTCAATATAAGTTACAAACTATTTTAACTGATGAAAATAATTAAATTCGGTGTAATATAAAGAACAACAAAAATACTTTGTAGTTATTTTAAACGATTTTTTTTTTGCAAAACTACCTATCTTGCAAATAACAAAACTGTACATAAAATCACATCAATCACAGGCAAAAAAGCGAGTGTTAAGGTAATCTACGCAAAGGTGCGTGTGATAAATGAACTTGCCCCAAATAAAGTGGAAATACGATCTCCAAGGTAAATGGGGTGGCGTATATTTGTCCTATAACCTTGTCGAGAAATATATTTTTAAGTAAATAGTTATCGAGTACAATATAAATATAGTTTTCTACGGGTTTCGAAACTAGTTAAGATTAAATTCCGCTTTTGTATAAAGTGATTTCCGCTACGACCATGGTCACAGCGATTATTATTGCCTATTATGTTTCATTCAATACCGTAAAGAGCTGATCTAGGATTACATGATGACTCAAAAGAACTAGGTGGCTTTTGATTTGATTAAAATAGTAGGGTGCATTTTTAAACGTTTTAGATTTCCCTGTTTGTTTGGGTCAAATTTAATAATTGAAATACTATTACCCCTACTACACACACCTATAGTTCTGATGACAATACAATTTAATATATTCAGTGTCATTGTAAATCCAAGATGGCCGCCGCCACAAAATGGTGAATTGCATATTTTTTCACAACCCCTCAATATGGGTATCAAATGACTTTACAAGTAGAACACAGTGCATAGCAGATCAAACAATTTAGATAGTTTAAAATAAAAACTAAAAACTTGAAAATAAAATTAGTAAAAAAATAATAAGTTAAACGGTTTTATACAAAAGAAAGATAATAATGATGCAGATAATGTACTAAAAGCTAAAAAATAAATAGGTAGGTCTTAGGTACCAGTCATCACACCACTCTTTTCATTAATCTAGATATTTATCATCTCACGATTTTATTTTTGAGCCTGATCAATGCTCTAAAAGAATATTGTTACTTATTTTATTGAGAATCACTTTATTAGGTAATTTGTTAATTACCTAACAAAAAAAACTTAGAGCCTAACCGCTCCATGAATCATGGGTACATAGCGATACTCCAACGAACCGTAGTATCGTAAACCGTAGTACTTAGCAAAGGATTTCGATTTCCTATCGACAATTCCTACAAAGAAAATGAAAATTAGAAAATTTATTCATCGTTACGTCACCAATCCAATTAGAATATGTATATTTCGCTATGGCAGAAGTTGATTAAGGAGGTCAAATGTGAATATTTTTTTAATAAATTTCGTGATTTAATTATATTTTATTTCTATCAAATAAATGAGATACTTGTGAACATTCTAGTGAGACGTGCATAAAAAATCAAACAATTTTATGCAACAGAAATATATTATTTGAAAAATAAATTAATTAATATGTTAAAGTATAATTAATAACTTAAAGTCAAATTAAGATGTTTCATGTATACATATTATTTATAAGATATCCATATGTGATACTGTAATTATACTGTATATGTATGTGCATGAAATATCGTGTGCGTGTGTGTGAGTGCGTGAGCGTGTGCAAGTGTGTGAGCGTGTGCATGTGCGTGAGCGTGTACGTGTGCGTGTGCGTGTGTGCGGGAGGAATATAAATGAAAAAAAGAAAACAATATGTACCAAACTAAAAATAATTAAGCATAGTCCATTTTATTCCTTTTATTTATTTCAGTAAGAATTGAACGATATATTATACATAAAAAGTATACAATGTGCAAAAGAATCATTGTAGAAATTTGAAATGAAATTGCATTATTGAGAATTATCTGAAAATCTATAACAGTTTCTATTATGAAAGTGGCTTATAGGCTTTTGACCCAGCTATCAACTTCTATGACCTGAGTAACCTAGTGCCGCTAAAATTATCATAATCAAAATGGAGTTAGCTTATATTCCTATTATTATATATCAATAGGCTACTTTTATGGGCAAAAGTACCTATATTTGAGCATGACTGAGCTAAATACAAATAAAATAAAGCCGCAATGAGAGCAAAGTTATTGAACTATAACTTTTCTCTATAACAACAATAATTTATAACTATACTTATTTTGTTGTGCACAATTATTATTTCTATTTATTCAATACTTACTGTCTTTATAGCCAACTATCTACTATAAACTTTGGAATTAGTGTAATAAAGTATAAAAGTTACTTGGAAATAACATACCCTAAAGTTGGTGACGCTTTGGGCTTCACTTGAGTTTTCATCATCATCATTAACAAGAAGTAGCGGTATAGAAACTTGATTTGTTATCTTGTTACATATTTAAGGGAACAAACAAATTTTTATATTAAAAGTGTTTGCATATATACATTTGTTATAATATAATTTATCAAAGCTACTTATGTATTCAGCCCTTTTTAACGTCCCACTGCTGGGTACGGGTCCCTCTTCAATACGAGGGGGATCAGGCCATAGTCCACCACGCTGGCCAAGTACGGGTTGGCGGACTTCACATGTCTTTCAAAAACTTGCTAAGTTCTCTTATGCATGTAGGTTTCCTCACGATGTTTTCTCATGATATTAGAAATGATTCGCACATGAATGAAAACACTCGTATCATAAGCAAGCGCATTACCTCTGGGCTACCACTGCCTTCTATTTTAAATATTTTATATTGCATAGTCCCCACCTATCCCCATTGTCCTATTGAAATAATACTTACCCATGAAATTTTAATACGTTCGAAATATATATATATATATATATATATATATATATATATATATATATATATATATATATATATATATATATATATATATATATATATTTTAGTTATACCAGCATCATAATGTAAACAACCATTAGTATGGGATTTGAGAATATATAAATTGTAATTTATAAAAAGAAAACATATAATGATGGTCCAAATATGAAAGCTAGTCTAAACTAACAAAAACACGGTAATAGTGTCATTTATTTGTATGAAACTAGCACTAAAAATTTTAATAATTTCAATTATATTTGTATTATATTCGTATTTA